GAAAAGAGAGGTCTCTTAAAAACAGTAGGGGATCATGAGAAATTGATCCAACAACTCCTAGATAATGCAAAGAAGAATAACATAAGGCTGATAGGAATCCATGAAGTAGCAGGAGAAAATACAAATGACTTAAAAAAAAACTGTTCGCAGAATTAATGATAGAGAACTTCCCAAACAGAGGGGAAGAATTTAACATTCAGATAAGTGACGCATATAGGACCCCAACTAGCCACAATCAAAAAAAAATCTACACCTAGACATATAATAATCAAGATCCCAGAAACCCAACAGAAGAACAAAATACTACAAGCAGTAAGAGAAAAGAAACAAATCACATGCAAAGGAAAGCCCATCAGAATCATAGAAGACTTTTCAACACAAACCTTTAGGGCAAGGAAAGCCTGGAGTGAGATATTTCAAGTACTAAAAGAGGACGAACTCCAACCTAGAGTGATATATCCTGCAAAACTCTCTTTCAAAATGGATGGGGAAATAAGATACTTTCAAGACAAAGAACACCTGAGAAACTACACGAGTACCAAACCAACGCTACAAGCAATTCTAAACAAGATGCTAGAAAAAGACAATGAAGGTAACAACAGCATGAGGCCCAACAGAGCAAATCAAATAGGCAAGGCAAGAAAGTAAAAGGAGAAGCTGAAAAAGTAAAAAGAGTTAACAAAAGGCCATAACAGGACAATAATAAGTCAGTACATATCAGTTATAACCATCAGTGTTAATGGCCTCAACTCACCAATCAAGAGAAATAGACTGGCAGAATGGAATAAGAAGCAAAATCCAACAATATGTTGTGTACAAGAATCACACCTAGTGCAAAAAGAAGCCCATAGACTGAAAGTGAAAGGATGGAAAAAAATTCTCCATGTGACAGGAGCCCAGAAAAAAGGCAGGGGTAGCAATCTTATTTGCAGACAAAGTAAATTTCAAATCAAAACTGATTCTAGTATTATAGATGTAGGACGGTACTGTATCATACCTCTGTGAATGTAAAATATCTTGTACCTGCTTTATGATACATAGTAGTGACCATGCTTTATCAGAGATATTTTTAAAGATATCACTCTAGAATGTTCTCTTTCCAGATGATGATTAAGACACTAATAAAAAAAAATGATTCCAGGTACCACAACAGCAACAGAACTTTGCTGTTTTCAGGGTATTATTCTTCTATTTGTTTTTTTTTTGTTTTTTTTTTTTAATGGAGTGTGCTGAATGTCTATAATTTTGTTCAGATGACTGTAGAACCTGGAAAAGCTGTTGCTGCTATTGATGCATAACATACTGCTATTATTGGTCTTTTTATATAAATATAAATATATTTATAATATAATATAATGTAATATATATTATTTGGAAACTTTAACTGTGCTGTCAACTTTGGAAAAAGTTATCCCAATTTACTGTGTTGAATTGGCATTGTACAGAAATTGACAGCCATATTGGCCTAGAAATGTTAATTTTTTTTCCATTTCTACAGGGGTAATGCACTGTATTAAATATGTAGGGTCATATCTATGTGGGTTGATTACAGAAACTAATAAAGAATTCTCTAAATAATGAAAAAAGAGAATAATATAAGACTACAAGAGCATGAAGCAACTTAAATAGGTTCAAAGACCATTTTCATCTTCAGAATTAAGGATTATTTTAATTTTACAGCATTGCCTTTTCTCTTTTACTTTCCTTTTTAGTTTTATTTTAGGATTCCCTATTTTTAATGTTCATATAGAGATTTCTTTAACTGAAATACTGAATAGTTTCTCTGGTGTGAAAAACTATAATAGTACACAAGATCCTAATGAGATAATTAATAATGTGAAATAGGAAGTAAAGGGCTAAAGGTGTAGGGAAAGTGGAAAGGGTGGGGGAAAGGTAATAAGGGAGAGGAAAAAATATGAGAAAATGAAAAAATGGAAATAAAGTGTTTGTAAATGGGGAAGGGAGGAGGGGGTGAAGAGAGGGCAGGGACAAGGGGAAAAAATGAGAATCAAGACCTATCATGTAAAGGTACAGGATCCCAATGATGAATGTAATTGTATTGTATACCTAGATTGTACCAATAAACTCCATAAAAATTAAAAAAAAAGAAACTCACTTGATAAATTAAGACATGACTACTACTATGTAATTTGAGTCTAGCAGAATCTTTAAAGCTTTACATTTAGAGGGGCTGTACAAAAGCCTAAGTTAACTCTAGTATCTAGATTTAACTTGTTTAGCTCAAACCTCTCACATGGCACTCAGTAAATTCTGGTAAGGTGTGCATGGTTTTTGCAGTAATTCAGTTCGTCAATGACAATCTGATCTTCATGAATCGAATCTCCAAGCTATTGTATAGGTACGAGGTATGACAGAAAAATACTTGGATGAAGTAGAAAAATTCCTATGAAGCTTCTGTAAATGGGGAGGGGAAGAAGGGTTGAAGGGAGAAGAGGGGAATGAAAAAAAGAATTAAAATATATTATGTACAAGTACAAATTCCCTATGATGAATGTGGGCACTATGTATGGTAAATATGTACTAATAAAAAATCAGAAAAAGTTAAAGTGACTGATTGGAGAAAAAAAAGATGGAAAAATTGCTTGGAAGACACAAAATTGCTTGGAAGACATTAATTTAAAAAGAAATACTTTTGAATATCCATATTTCCATGAAAATAATTAAATTCATAATTAGAAGTCTTTCTACAAAAAATTTCCAGGCCTGGACAGAATCACTCATAACTTCTGTCGGATATTTAAGGAAGAAATCATATTAATCTTTTATCCATGTAGAACTTTCAGAAAGTAGAACCAGACAATGTACTTTCTAACTAAATTTTTGAAGCCAGTATTACTTTAATTTCAAAACAAGACAAAGGCATTTTGAGGAAGGCTACATACCATTATCTCTCATGAAACAGGAAAAACTCTTAACCAACAACTAACAAAAATACAAAAAGCATACAGTACAAGCTGATGATAGAAAAGTAGGGTATGGTTTTTGTTTGTTTTGTTTTTTTGAGACAGGGTCTCACTATGTGGTTCAACTAACTGTAGCCTAGGCTGGTCTCGAACTCACAGTGATCATCCTGACTCAGCTTCCTGAGCACTGGGATTACAGGTGTGCACCACCACACCTGGCTATAGGATATGTTTTTAAATTAGACAAATTTATTAAGGTAAAAGACACATTACTGGCTAGGGATTTAGCTCAGCGGTTCGGTGGCCTGCCTTGCAAGTGCAAGGGCCCGAGTTCAATCCCCGGTACCAAAAAAAAAAAAAAAAAAAAAGACACATTACTATTAATCTCCCACTTCAAACTAATTCCATCAGTAGCCACTTTCTGCAGCACTTCTGGAGTCTCCTTTCTTGCTTCCCCTTATGCTGTCATGGCTGCTTTGACATCCTGGATCAATTCAAAGCATTTACCTTTCATGACTATCTTGACTTTGGGGGAGAGCCAGAAGTTGCTTGGTGGACAAGGATGAGCCATAACATTTTTAGGAGCCTGCGTTTCCCTAGGATGACTCACACCAGCAGCCTTCACAGTATTTTTGATCATATCCAATGAGATAACAACTAGGACTTCTGAAATTCTTTCAGAAAGTGACAACAAAGATGGGATAGATGTGTTTAAAGTGAGTTTTGGCCACATGTGGTGGCACACATCCCAGCATTTGGGAGACCAAGACAGTCTCAGTGGAGGCCCACCTGGGTATATAGTGAGTTCAAGGCCAGCCTGAACTCCATAGCAAGATATTGTCTCAAAAGAGAAAAACAAAAACTGAAAAAGCATAAAGTGAGTTTTGAGGGGTATTGATGACAATGTTTCCTTTACTGTAATAACATTTTTAAAATTTTTAAATATTCATCTTTTGTTTTTATCACACCTCATACAAAATAAAGAGGTGAGATATATTTCCTGTTCTCTCAAAAGAGGTAACTGAAAACTTTTCAAATAATAATTAAGTCATAATATAAGGAGCCTCTTCATTAGATTTTCCATCATATTAAAGGCCTAGAACCATACAGCACTTTTGGGAGAAGTCTGCTAGGCCAAACTACACATATTATGGAGGTTAAAAAAAAAAAAAAAAGGTCTGAAGAGTTTAAGCCATTTGTGCTAAGTCCCATAGTTACCCCAGTGGCAGACTCAGGTTTGGAAGTCTGGTCTCTGAAATCCCAGCCGGATGATGGTCATTTCACCTGCCTGTTTGTAAGAATGTTCTGTGATTTAAGGATACTTTCAAATAGAAAAACGAGGTGTAAACAGGAGCATGAAAACCGGCGTTCTGATTACTGCATTCAGCACCTGCAGGGTGCAGTTCACAGGTACATACACTCAGGACCTTACTCGGAGTACCTGTCGTTTACATCATGCTGACCTAGAGTAATGTCAGTAATACCGACCTAGCTCGATTATTTGTATTAACTTATTTAGCTAGCAAAGGAAACTGCTTGGTAATACACTCCCAGTTTGTGAAAAAGAGGAAGAAGCAAGACTCTGCTGGTGCCCACCGTTAGAGCTTATCTTGAGTTAAAAAGCAGGATTGGAGGTTGCTGGGGGGACAACTAAACGGGCAGAATGAACGTCTGCGTGGGGGCTGTGCCGGGGAGTGGACAAGAAGGTATGATCAGCTTATTTAAGGTTTGAGAAGTTTTATATCCAGATCTAGGAACCCAATGGTAACCCTTCTCCAGAGAGTCCTGGGAAATTTGAAGAACTTAGTTGTGGGGAGCACTCCCTGGAGTTCGCGCCGCTTGTTCCCCTTCTCCAGGACCGAGGGCCCCTCCTGTCCACCCAACCTAGGCGCCCCAAGCTCCTGCTTGCCGGTTCTGCCTTTTCTGCCTATGGGCAACGTAGGCTAGAGCAGCTCTCCCGGGCTCACCCGTCGGCCGGGGAGGCGAAGGGGAGGAGAGAAGAGGCGGGAGGTGGGAGGAGGAGTTTCTGGGCGGCCCGGAGCCCCCGTGGGGGCGCGGCGGCGAGGCGCAAAATCGAGGGTTTCGGGGACGCGGAGAGACACTTTCCTCCTCCCAAGGAGTGAGGGAGGGAAGTCTGTGGCTCTAGCGCCGGGCCACTTTCCCGGTGCGATTCCGGGAGCTCCCAGCAGGAGGTGAAAGTCCCCGCCTGGTCCGGATGGCGTAGTTGCGCCGAGGCGCAGCAGCTGCCGGAGGCGAGCGCTGGGCGGGGAAACTTTCTCTGCTGTCCTCCAACTTGCAGCGGGTGGATCTGCTCTTGACACACCGCCTCCGAGGTACGTGCGTGCCGGCCCCGGCCCTCAGCGCTGCAGCCCGCCGGGCCGCGG